ACCCCCCCCCCCCCCCAGGATGCTGATGGCTGCCCTGTCAACATCATGGTCATCCCCAATGGCGACGGCACCTTCCGCTGCTCCTACGTGCCCACCAAGCCCATTAAACACACCATCATCATCTCCTGGGGAGGCGTCAATGTGCCCAAGAGCCCCTTCCGGGTGTGTCCTCCTGTCCTGCCCCCCTGCCGCCTGGGGTCCCAGAGGGAGGGTGGAGCCCCATACAGGAGATGTTGGTCGTCCCTGGGCCCTTGTCTCCACTCCCCACCTCAAAACCCACAAAGAGGCTGAGGCTGGTCCTGCTGAGGCCGGGGCGGGTAGTGATGGGGTATGGGGCCTGTGGGAGGGGCCCTGGGCTGAGCATCAACCTCCTCCCGACAGGTGAACGTGGGAGAAGGCAGTCACCCCGAGCGGGTGAAGGTGTATGGCCCAGGCGTGGAGAAGACGGGCCTCAAGGCCAACGAGCCTACTTATTTCACCGTGGACTGCAGCGAGGCTGGGCAAGGTGTGCCTGGCTGTGGTCAGGGGAGTGGGCGGGGCCTGGGTAGGTGGGGCTTGCACTCTGGCCAGATCCTGCTTCTAGCTAAGTGGGGGCGGCCGTTGAGAACCCACTCATGGCCCTGTGCCTGCCTCCCCTCAGGTGACGTGAGTATCGGCATCAAGTGTGCTCCCGGAGTGGTGGGCCCTGCAGAAGCTGACATCGACTTTGACATCATCAAGAACGACAATGACACCTTCACAGTCAAGTACACCCCCCCAGGGGCCGGCCGCTACACCATTATGGTGCTGTTTGCCAACCAGGTACCCTACCCTTGGCTTCTGGCCGTCACTGGTGGCCTGCAGCCTCCAAGCCTAAGCCGCAGCTTCATATCCTGTCCTTTGGGGACAGTTGCGCAGCCATCGACAGAGCACTTTCTGTGTGTGGGTGGTGGGCCTCAGAAGGAACAAAGGAGCTGTTTCAGAAGCCACCTTTGCCTACCCTGACCAGATCTTTTTTTTCCACCCAGGAGATCCCTGCCAGCCCCTTCCACATTAAGGTGGACCCATCCCACGATGCCAGCAAAGTCAAAGCTGAGGGCCCTGGGCTGAACCGCACGGGTAGGCGTTTGGGCGGGGGCTGGGCTGGGCCGGGCCGGGATCGATGCTAGGTGTCCACCAGGCCCTCACCGCTGTCTTGGGGTGGGCTCCCCAGGTGTGGAAGTCGGGAAGCCCACTCACTTCACGGTGCTGACCAAGGGAGCCGGCAAGGCCAAGCTGGACGTGCACTTTGCCGGGGCTGCCAAGGGTGAGGCCGTTCGGGACTTTGAAATCATCGACAACCATGACTACTCCTACACCGTCAAGTACACCGCCGTCCAGCAGGTGTGTCCCGCTTCCTCCCCACCCCACCCATCCTGGTTGACGAGGGTCCTGCATCTCCTTCCGCCGGTCTCCTAGGACCACTTCTGGGTCGTCTTGGCCCTTTCCTGGCACCTAGCCTCTCTGGCTGTGCCACTCTGAGCCCGAGGTCCACATCGGCCAAGGGCATGTTGCCAGGCCGTGTCTAAGCCACCCAGTTCTAACCTCTTCTTGTACCCGATAGGGCAACATGGCAGTGACGGTGACCTACGGTGGGGACCCTGTCCCCAAGAGCCCCTTTGTGGTGAATGTGGCACCCCCACTGGACCTCAGCAAAGTCAAAGTTCAAGGCCTGAACAGCAGTAAGTGGGGCAGGAGCCGCCCTGGAAGGGAGAAGTGCTGTGGGGTGGGCCGGAGTCTCTGCTCACTGTGCCCCTTGACCTCTCTGCAGAGGTGGCTGTGGGGCAAGAACAGGCCTTCTCTGTGAACACACGTGGGGCTGGTGGTCAAGGGCAGCTGGATGTGCGGATGACTTCACCCTCCCGTCGCCCCATCCCTTGCAAGCTGGAGCCTGGGGGCGGAGCTGAAACCCAGGCCGTGCGCTACATGCCCCCTGAGGAGGGACCCTACAAGGTGGACATCACCTACGACGGTCACCCAGTGCCCGGTAGCCCCTTTGCTGTGGAGGGTGTCCTGCCCCCTGATCCCTCCAAGGTAAGTAAGGAGATAGGAGTTGAAGGGAGCTGGGATTTGAGGGTTTATAGGGAAAATGAATAAGTCACGGAGGCAAGAGGGCCCGTGTACCTGGAATGACTACAGCCCTGGGTCCAAGGCCACGGTGATCCCTCCATCTCAGGACCTGCCTTTGAAACAGCCTAGTTATGAAGAGTGTGGCCTTTGATCACACCGGGCTTGGGCTCCAGCTTCACTAACCGAGACAAACTATTTAATCTGTCAGCCTCCATTCCCTCATCTAGAATTGTTGTAAGGACTCAGCCTGTCATAGCTGCTACAGTTAAAGGTGCTTAGCTGGGTGGGGAGCCACGAAGACCAGGCACGGGAGAGGCCGGATGTAAGGAGACTATATACCTGCTCCTCTCCCTAGGTTTGTGCTTATGGGCCTGGTCTCAAGGGCGGCCTGGTAGGCACCCCGGCACCGTTCTCCATTGACACCAAGGGGGCTGGCACGGGCGGCCTGGGGCTGACTGTGGAGGGCCCCTGTGAGGCCAAGATTGAGTGCCAGGACAACGGTGATGGCTCATGTGCTGTCAGCTACCTGCCCACGGAGCCCGGCGAGTACACCATCAACATCTTGTTTGCCGAAGCCCACATCCCTGGCTCACCCTTCAAGGCCACCATCCGGCCCGTGTTCGACCCGAGCAAGGTGCGGGCCAGTGGGCCGGGCCTGGAGCGTGGCAAGGCTGGCGAGGCGGCCACCTTCACAGTGGACTGCTCGGAGGCTGGCGAGGCTGAGCTGACCATCGAGATCCTGTCGGACGCCGGTGTCAAGGCCGAGGTGCTGATCCACAACAATGCCGACGGCACCTACCACATCACCTACAGCCCCGCCTTTCCTGGCACCTACACAATTACCATCAAGTATGGCGGGCACCCTGTCCCCAAATTCCCTACCCGCGTCCACGTGCAGCCTGCTGTCGACACCAGTGGAGTCAAGGTCTCAGGGCCCGGGGTGGAGCCTCACGGTGAGTGAGAGAGGCGGAGCTGGTCAGGGAGCCCTGGACATCAGTGGGAGGGAGCAGGGCTGAGGGCTCAGGGAGGGCCAAGGCAGAGGTAAAAGGAGGGCCCTTAAGACTCAGGTACCCCAGAGAAGGAGCCAAGGGCCAGAGGCTGGGCATGGAGCTTTGCCTCTGCTCATGTGGCAAAACTGTCTGCCTATGTGCGTCTTTCCGGGGAGATCCCAGCTTTCAGATCAGGTGCCTGATCTGAGAAAGCTAAGGACCCCAGTGTAGAGAATAGAGTGGGAAAGCTTTGGGTAGAAGGTCAGGAGATAGTTCAGCCCAGTTCAGTGAGTGTGAGTGGCCACCTGTTGGAGGCCAGCCCCTGGCGAGGCATGACAGTGGAAGGTCAAGGGAGACAGAAGACCCAGACCCACCCTTGAAGGGCCCACAGCCTGGTGGGGTGCCTGACATGAACAGAGTATCACACGGTGGTGATGGGAGCGAAGCAGGGGCCTGGAGCACACGGGGGCGGGGGGGGGGGGCAGAGGGTGGCTGGGCTTAGGCTGGGAAGTAGCAGATAAGAGCAAGAGCCTGAAAGCTGGGGAGGGTGGAGGCATGAGCGACTATGTGAGGCTGCCCTTGACTCACACGGAGTACTCCTTTCCTGGGACCCAGGTGTCCTGCGTGAGGTGACCACTGAGTTCACTGTGGATGCAAGATCCCTAACAGCCACAGGTGGGAACCACGTGACAGCTCGTGTGCTCAACCCCTCGGGTGCTAAGACGGACACCTATGTGACAGACAACGGGGACGGCACCTACCGAGTGCAGTACACAGCCTATGAAGAGGGTGAGGACCTGGGCCGAGCAGGGACGGTGGGGAACCGATGACTCTCAGTGCGGATGGGGTGCTAGGGGCTGTGCACACCCTGATCGCCCTGTGTGGCTGGCTTCCAGGCGTGCATCTGGTGGAGGTCCTGTATGATGACGTAGCTGTGCCCAAGAGCCCCTTCCGAGTGGGCGTGACCGAGGGCTGTGACCCCACCCGCGTGAGGGCCTTTGGGCCTGGCCTGGAGAGCGGCTTGGTCAACAAGGCCAACCATTTCACTGTGGAGACCAGGTATCCTCCCCCTTTCCTAATCTGGACACCGATGCTGTAGCCACCCTGATCCCAGCTACTCACCCTTCTCCCTTGTCCTTCCGGTGTGCGCCTCATCCCACCCCTTCTCCAGGGTGACCCAGGAGCCTACCTCCCCTGGTGTTTCAAGATCAGCCCCTTTGTCCCTCCTCAGCTGGGCACCTGGCAGCCTGCCTTCTGTCCTCCACCCACCCCCTTCAGCGGCTCTTCCCTCTCCCTACTCACCGTTCCTAGCAGAGCTGAGAAGGGTGTTGCCTTGCAGGGGAGCTGGCACCGGAGGCCTCGGCCTAGCCATCGAGGGCCCCTCAGAAGCCAAGATGTCCTGCAAGGACAACAAAGATGGTAGCTGTACCGTGGAGTACATCCCTTTCACCGCTGGAGACTACGACGTCAACATCACCTTTGGGGGGCGGCCCATCCCAGGTGTGCAGAGAGAGTGGGTGGCGGGGGAGGGTTGTGCAGGGAAGGCATCAGTGACAACGTGTGGCTGCTGAGGCTGTGGCCAAGAGGCAGGGCAGTGATCGTTGCTGATGGGACAACCCTTCGGTTCATTCCCACAGGCCCAGGGCTGGCGTCCCGGCCCTTTGCCTGGAGCGCCAGACCTCACGGGTTCAGTCACTCAGGCACAGTCCAGGCCACTCTCGCCGGCAGAGGAGAGCCTCTCTCTCGTGCCTTCTCGCGCTGTCTGCAAAGAACAGGACTGAGCTGCTTGGGCAGGTCGTGTCTCCTGTTATTGCAGAGCTTAGGCATGCTGAAATTGGACTTTTTTTTTCCACCGTAACTTTTCTAACTTCATGGTCAAAAGTGCATTTTATTTTTAAAATAATCCATTTTTAGCATTTTATTAATTTAAGAAGGTCTTCTTCCAGGCCTGTGGCCCAGCACATAATAAGGTTTGCCCCACCTTAGTCTGCAGCCAAGTTTATTTGTCCCCGTTTATGAGCAAGTTCCTAAGCATTTGTACATGTTGGTCTGGCCTCTCTGAGGGTATTTCAGAGGCAGGGAAGGCAGGGAAGACCTCTCCCCTGCCTCCTTGGTGTCAGAGACCTTTCTAGGCAGGTGGGTAGGGGCTGATGTCCTTCTCCTTGCAGGGAGCCCGTTCCGGGTGCCGGTGAAGGATGTGGTGGACCCTGGGAAGGTGAAGTGCTCAGGGCCGGGGCTGGGGGCCGGTGTCAGGGCCCGGGTACCCCAGACCTTCACGGTGGACTGCAGCCAAGCCGGCCGGGCCCCACTGCAAGTGGCCGTGCTGGGCCCCACAGGTACCGAATGTCTGGGGCAGGGTGGAAGGAGGCGGGGCGGGGCACCAGGAGGCTTTGCTGACCCTCCCCCCTTGCTCAGGTGTAGCCGAGCCTGTAGAGGTGCGTGACAAGGGAGATGGCACCCACACTGTCCACTACACCCCAGCCACCGATGGGCCCTACACGGTAGCCGTCAAGTATGCCGACCAGGAGGTACCACGCAGGTGAGAAGCACTCTTGGGCTCCCATGCTGTGGCTGAGCGCTCCCACTGGGGCCACACCTGCCGGCCACTGGCAGGGCCCTGGGGGTGCCCTCCCCCCACCGTTTTGGCCTCATTCGGTCTCCGGCTC